CATCTGCTATCTGAACTTTGATATTTCTAGCAAAAGGAGTATAAGATGAGAATAATGTATAATCATTTGTCATGTGATATGAAGCTCCAAAATTAACAATCTAGCAATTACCATTGTATAAACCTTTTTTAGTAGATAAGGCTTGAGAAAAATTACCTCTACGTACAATTATAGTAATTGGTTGCTGTCGTTAGGGTTGTGATAGAACCCTCTACTCTATTAGGCTTAAAAATAAGGAAAACCAAAAAATAAACTTTAAACATAACTAAAAATTACTATTTGTTGAATAATATAATGAGATTGCAAGCAAAATGAGGACTGAAACTACACTCAAATGACAATTACAAGGTATAGGAAACATCATAAAATACACCCTTTTAACAGCAGCACAAGCACAAGCCTCTCACAAATACACATTAAGATAAAAAGATAAAATGATGAAAAAGATGACCTTTACCTCTAATCTAGCATTCAAGAGGCCAAAACTCTCCTTACCTCGACCACAATAAATACTCTAACCCACCTCTACATGAAATTACAGATTTAAAGACCTAAAAATCACTCATTACTCCTACCAACACTAGCCAGCTTTTCTTCCCTACTTAGATGTGTTAGATGATCTTTAACCATAAGATTTTCTCCTAAACCAACAATCCCATTTTTGCTGTCACTTTTCTATTCTTTTTATGTCTCCTTTTAAAAGTTTTGACATTGACCATTGATAGAGTCTTATCATCACTTCCCCCTGAAGTTCTACCTTGCCCTCAAGGTGATTGGTAGAACTTGTCATAATAGCATAACCAAGAATCCTATGTTCAATTCTCTCCCAACAATCTTCATAATTTTGTCAATATGAAATCAAGTTTGTCTGTGCTAAAGTTTTTCCTTCAAACCTGAGTGTGAAATCAACTACTTCAATAATCATGTTATTCTCTATCAATCTCTTGGCAATATCTTTAACCTTTATACATCTATTTTCTTCCCTTGCCCTGGTAGAAAATTGATTTATGATTAATAAAAGTTGTTCTACTAGGGATAGCAATCCCAATTCCTTTAGCGGGCTTCATAAGGCAAACATGAAAATTAGTAATTAATATTCCTGCTTGATCTTGAGTTTAGTTTGCTCTGCTCCCCTAATCTTATGCTCTAGTAAGAAGATGATAGAAAATAAAAACCAAGAGGGATCTTTCACAATCAACCTCATTATCTTTGACATGAGAAGCTTCAACTTGTTTGAAGAGTTATTTTTATCAATTTTTCTTTTTGAACTAAATAAAATTTTGCAATGTATTTATTTTCTACCTTGAACATCACATACCTCTAGCTGTCTTAGTTCATTGTGTATCCCTTCTTTAAATCTAACCTAGGATGCTTCATTCAGTGGACCCTCCAAAACAACCTTTGTCAACATCAATATGTATTCCTCTTTCCCATAGTCTGTCTGTAACCTCTTAATAGGCTCAAAAATAACCCCAATGCCCCTTCTTCTTGTTGTTTTAGCATCAAGCAGCAAAGAAACATCTCTAGATTGTATATCACTTCTGTTTCAAAAGAAATTTCCCTTCTTCCTATTTCATCAACTCCCAACAAAAGGGAAAACATCTCTAGTTTAATGTTTGTTGCTTATAGAATCGATACTTCACTCCTCCTCTTCTTTTTATGCCTTGTTGACTTCTAACAAGTAAAGGAATTCCCTCGTCTCTATTCTTCTCATGGAGTTAGTAGTAAGAAAATAAGAAAATTCTCCTAAATGGCATGAAACTGTATATAAACATGGACCTATTTCCTTTTTGAAATCACAAACTAATCCAAAAAAAGTGAATAGAGAGGCAATCTGTGCACAAAACCTTAAACCTAGAAACTAATCATGATAGAGAGCAACCTTAAACCCACTACTTCTTAATACCTTGATGGTGTATAGGTAAGAAAAGCCTTTTGATTATATCAATGAGAATGGGAACTCCCTTACAAAATACTCTAGGTAGTCGTATTCAAAACATTAATTACTATAGGGGGTTTCTAAAATTAAATCAGAGACTTGGATACCCTTGTGATAATGAATAGGCTTGATTATAAACTGACCAATCTATTAGGTTCATTTGTGATTTGTACTAAGTACGGCCCATTTAGCCCTAAAAAAGATCCTCCATTGCCAACGTTTTGGGCTTCTTCTACTTTTAATTTTCCTACTTGATCTAATACCTATTTACTTGTTTCTCTACCTTTATCATTTTTGTCCTCACCTAATTGTAATGGCTAGCTTCAAACATGCAAGCTTCTCATATTTGCACTGCATGTCTTTTCCTGAGCCTTTTTGCCATCATCATCTTCAACTTTTATTCTATCTCTTGCTTGCTCATGATATATCTAGTGTTGTGATTGGGCCCTCTTGACCTTTCCTGCTCTCTTCATGTCCTTCTTTGATTCTTCTACTACAACACATCTATGTCGAATAGCTATAAAATTTTTTGGCATGGTTTTAATAGCTTCCCAAACTTGAAGATTTAAATGTTTCATCTTTTCTTGTCGATTGTCACTAAAAGCTTCTTCAAGCTTCTCTCCTTATGAAAAAGGTGATAATTTTAACCATTGTTCAATAATAGGCTCTTTCACTCTTCCTTCTTCAATCTCATGAATTTTTTACATTTCTCCCTTTGTCTCTTACTTAACTAGTTTCTTCTCAAATTCCTTCTTACCTATAGCATCTTCCTTTTCCTTCTTCACGTATGATTTCTTCTCTATTTCAACACACATTTCCATTTTGTCTAAAAGTATTTTCACTTCTCCGATTTCTTCTGCATTTTTTCCTTTTTTTTGCCACTCTTGACAATATTTTTGACATCATGTTGCTGTTGTTGCCATTTCTTCATATAAGTTTGTCACACTCTGAAGATCAATCATTTTTTATACCAAACAATGGAACCCTCTACTCTATAAAGCTTAAAAACAAGGAAAATCAGAAAATACACTTCAAATATAACTAAAAATTACTGTTTAGTGAATAATACAGTAGGATTTCAAGCAAAATAAGACTAAAAATACACTCTGATGACAATTACAGAGTACAAGAAACATAATAAAATACACCCTTTTGATAGCAGCATAAGCACAAGCCTCTCACAAATACACATTAAGGTAGAAAGATAAAATGATGAGAAAAGATTATCTTCTTCACCCCTAATCTAGCATTCGAGAGGCTAAAACTCTCCTCACTTTGACCATAATTCTCCAAAATACTCTACCCCCCTTTAGACCAAATTATAGATTTAAAGACCCAAAAAATTACTCATTACTCTAACCAATACTACCTAGTTTTCCTTTCTACTTAGATGTGTTAGCTAGTCTTTACCTATAGGATTTTCTCCTAAACCAATAGTCCCATTTTTGCTGTCACTTTTCTATTCTTTTTTTGCCTCCTTTTAAAAGTTTTGACATTAATCAGTGATGGGGTCTTACCAGGTTGGATAAATTTAATAATTCCAGGATTTTCTTAAGTGGATCCTTTTTATTTTGTGACTAAGAAGAAGATTCTTTAGTTTTGTCATCACTTATGGTAGCATGTAAATACGACTACCTCCCTTGCCTTTCTTTAGTTTCCAATCAATAGGCTTTCCATAAAGGTCCCAACAACTATCCTTCATGTGACAATTCTTTATGCACTAATCACAAACCAATTTGCCTTTAGATTTATTAAACTTTAATGAATGAGTGACTAAAGAAAATGTCTTAGAAGTAAAAGGCAGAGCATGTTTCTTGTCTTGCACCATCACTCGCAAACAAGATTCTTCTCTCCTAATTTCTGCAAAGGCTTTACAAATAGAATATAGAGGGACTCGGCTCATAATCATCCTTGGATAGCATCAAGCTCTTTGTTATGACTTACTATGACTCAATTAGCCTTTCTTTATCAACTCGCTGTTGAAATTTATAGCATTATCAGAGCAACACCAATTTTCTTCACTGTTAAGATGCAATTCTTACCAAAGTGCCATTTTTTTCAAGGTAATATTCATTCATAGGTGAAAGGTAGGAACATGAAGCTTTTTCATTTTTTTTAGAGAAGACCATAGCATTGATGAGTATGAAAAGACCATTGAAATCTCAATCTTCCATAGTTGAACCTTGGTTGCATTGGTAGATTCTAGTGTAGTGACTTCTCCCATTATATAACCAAGCTTTTCAAGCCTTTCAATAGCCAATCAAACCTATTGAGTCCATCCTCTATAGTTGTCACTATTGAGGTTATTAGGAATGAACAAAATTGTCAACCCTTTGAGGCTAAAAGCCACCTTATAACTTCTCTCTTAGCATGGGTTAGTTTTCAAGGATCCTTTAAGATTGTGCAATGTGTTTTAAGCAACATTGTGATCCTTGGGGTTCAACTCCAATTAATTTTATCATGTGTCTTACTTATGGGCTCTGATATCATTTACGACTAATAGGGGAGAGAAAATAATTCTCTTATTTTTGGAATGAAGAGCGTACAAGAACATATACAAAAGGGGTATTTAATTAGAAGCCCTAACATTAGGAAAATAAAGTAAGAATATTCTAGATCCTAAATTGACTCCCTAACATAGGGTATTTACAACATAATAAAAATAAATATTCTAGTATTTATTATTAGGATCTCCATAAAACTCCATGCCTATGGACCAACTCTCTCCCTTACATCTCACAATCCATATGAACTAGTTAGTGCTGTTATTTCCATTTTTCACCCCTCACCTAGATCATCCCAAACTATCACAATTTGAGTCCCTCTTCCATCCTAGAGGTTGAATAAGGTCATCTCCCTCAAAGATTGGCATTCAGTTCTAATCATGAAGATCACAATCCTACAAACACAATAATTTGCAAACAAGTTTTCTCTCCTTATTATGCTAGAAGAAATAAGCTTCTTACTAGAATGTTATTGTTACAATATATATATATTTTTTCATTCTCTAATTAGGAATTTTTCTTTTCATTTTTCTAAATTTATATTTTTTGATTTTCAGATATTCTATTATGGAAAAATGACAAGGAAGCAGAAACCTTACGTCTTAAATATGTATGTATATTTCTATTTTGTTTCTGCTAAACCTTTCTTGTTTGAAATTTGTTCAATCTCTCTAAAAGAACTATCAACCTCAGATAAAGTATATGGCGAGTGCAAGTGTTGGAAGTATTTTGGATTTTATTGTCTAGATACTAGGAAGAGAATTTTGTTTATCTTCCTTAATTATCATTTTTACATTTATAGATAGGTTGTGAACTTGTCATGTTTGAAATGGTAATTATATATTTTTCTTTTTGTTAATTTAGATTAGTTGAAGATCGACAATCTTGTATTCTCTGTCAACAATTTATTATGTTGAGATTTTACAATATGATGTTTGTTACTTTTACATCTTTTGATTTTTGTCAAATAAAGTCCAAAACACCATTTGGTCATGATTGCACTTTTTTTTAAAGTAGAATAAGTTATTTCTTTATAAGTGGAAATGAACTTTTAAAGCATAGGGAGGAAATAAAACTAGGAGAGAATATTTGCAAAAATAGTAAATGGGAGTTTCCTCCCCTAGTTTTTTCCCCCTTTACTTTTTTCTCCATCCAAACTAAGGGTTAAGCTAGTATATGGTTAAAATATGAGTATGCTTTTTGTATTGATGTATGGATTGAATGCATATGAGATCCATTTAATTATCTTTTTTTTCTTTTTAATGAAATAATTTTCAAGTGAAAATTAATTGAACATGTTTCTCCATTTATTCTAGATCTTAGTTTATACGTTCTCTCTCAAACTTGTCTGTTGGTTTAAGTCATTTCTTTTTGTAATGAGAGTAGAGTTGATTTGCTTGATGAAAACTTGAATTTTGATTATTCTCTTCTGCTCCTAATTCTTTTTGTAGATCAAACCTGAAGTTCTTAGCTGGTCTCCACGAATCATTTTACTGCATAACTTCTTAAGCATGGAGGTATGAATATTTTTTTTATTGCCAAATTTTATGTACTAACATGGTGAGTTGGAGTCATTTTATAGAATAGAGGATGAAGATTATGGCCTTGTTTTTGTTTTATTTTATTTTTTTGGCTTGTTAAGAGGGGTGGAGGAAGACAAAAAAATACTAATGAAAGTTGTTGAACAAAATCTCTTAGTTAACAATATTTCTAAAAACTTAGTTAATGATAGAATACAATGGTATTGTTCAATCCATAAAACCGACCCTACCTAGTAGAATAAGGCTTCTTCCTACTATTGTTTTTCCTTTATTGACACATATGTGAATGTTTTTTTTTAATATGGCTAGTAGACTCAATTCATTTTAAATCAGTTTTAGTAAATGATGCCACGAAATAGTTGTGACCATATTACACATTCTCTATTCATTTGTACATACTATAATTTCTCCTAACAAAGTATAATTTTGGTGGATCTTTTTTTGATACTTCTCATATGGTTCTACTAGCTGTGAACTATAAAGTAGTATGGGTTGCTTTTTGTTTCATTATTGGGCAATCCTCATATAAAGTCTTCTGATGATGTGAGACAAGAAAAAGTCATGATTACTAAAACAGTAACATTAATACTAATCATTTTTAGCAAATTTACCTTCTAAATAAAGTTTTTGATCATAACAACTTTGCAGATGAAATTGACGTGTTAATTAGAATTGAAGTTATTTTTCCTTTACAGGAATGTGACTATCTTAAGGCTATAGGGAGCCCTCACCTTAAACGGTCAAAAGTGGTGAATGAAACAACAGGGAAGGTAGAATGGTTTTTTATTTTGATTGGTTTTCATTATCCAAACCATCTAAAACATGAACTTGGTTTGGGAGAAAAATGCTCCACTTATTATTATAGGGTACCCAATGCTCCTCAAAGGAGAGTACAAGGGCAAAAATTTAATTTAACCTAAAAGTAAATATTAGTGACTACTTTAATTTAACCAATGACTATTTTTCTTTTAGCAGTACCTAAATAGATCAAGCAATTACAACTTCCTATGCTCAATTTGTAGTTCTTTGCTCCATTCTAGTCATTACTAGAAGAAAAGTAGTTATTGCTTACACTAAACAGTCACTGACATTTACAACACTTAGACTTCAGTAAATTAAAAATTTTCACAAGGAAAGTTGCAATTGGTTGTTCGATTTTAGTCATTGCCAAAAAGAAAAGTAATATTGCTTAAACTAAAATAGTTATTAATATTTATTTTTTATTTTAAACTGGGGGTAATTTAGTTATTTCATAAAAATCATTAATGTCTAAAAGGTCCCTAGAGACTTGAGAAGAATCATGATATTTTGTGAGATCTCATTGTCATTTGCATATTTCAAGTAAAGTGAATTTCCCTTATACTTTCCTTTAAGTAGTGCTAAGCACCCTATACTAATGAGTGAGGCATTTTTTCCTATAAACCATTTTCCAGAAGAGTAAAATTCCACCTCTGTTAACATATCACTAATGGTGGGGGATTTTTTACTCCTTTAGAAAATGGTTTAGGTGGAAAATATCCTACTTATTAATATAAGGTGTCCAACACTCCTCAAAGGAAAGTATAGAGGCAAAAATACATTTTAACCCTCATATTTTTTTATGTGTAAACTAGGAAGGTGTAGCATAAGGCATGTAGTATGTTCCCATGGGCATACCCCAATAAACCATAGGATACTATGATTGGAAACTCAAATGCCATTTGAAAAAGTCACATGAACATTGGAACTAGGGTTTCCTTTCCTCTTGAATTGCTTATAACATGTAAAGCTTAAAATAAAGATAGGGAAACATTTTGTTTTACAATTTGCATTGTTGATTACATTAGCTTGCTTGCACAATTATTGTAGCTATAGATAGGGTTAGCAAATGAAAACTAATATAAATTTACACTCCATCTAGTAGTGGAACTGAAATATAACTAGCTGAAACCTCATTTTCACAGTGGTAGCTAGTGTTCATAGCTATTGTAACATGATCTAGCGAGTATAATGTTTTTTTTAAAGACGTGATTATATGATTTCTACAATATGTCTTTTCTAGCCTGTCAACTTCTCTACTGTTTGTGTCTTTCAAATAATATTCATAGTTTTGTAACCTGCCAAGGAGCCTCTCATTTGATTTTCCTTCATGTTTTGTAGTATTACAAGAGCAACGGCAGGACAAGCTCTGGTATGTTCCTAAAGTGGAAAGATAGAAAACACCCAATGGTGCAGGTATTTTTTTTTACATTACAATTTTTTTTGGAGAATACTTTATTGTTTTATGATTTTTTTTCCTCAAATTTAATATCATATCTATAGCATAAACACTAGACACCTTATTGCTTCACCTTTTCCAAAAAAATTTTGAAAAAACTACACTCGTATGTCTTATTTCTATGTATATGTGATCTTGACTTTCCTTTCTTATTGTGCAACTTTTTTTAATTATTTGTGTTTTCATTGTTATAGAATAAATTTTAGTTTTCTTTAAAATCATTAGTTAGTTTTGCTTTGTGCTTGGGCTTGAGTTGAATCTTTTTTCAATTGATATGCCCAATAGTGGAAAACCTTCTCTTTTTGGTGAGGATAAATTAAACACTTTGATAAAACATGTTCAACTTGTATATCCAGGCAATTGAAAAGAGAATTTCAATCTATGCTCAAGTACCATCTGAAAATGGAGAGGCTATTCAAATTTTAAGGTAGGATATTCCTTCATTTTCTCCATTCTTTTCAAACAAAAATGAATTACTTTCCTAGGACTAAAGCTAAAATTTGCAAAATCATAGGTATGAGAAGAATCAATATTATAAAGCCCATCCTGACTATTTTCTAGATACTGTGAGTTTGATTCCTTACTTTTTGTCTTCCTTTTTTATAATGACAAGAATTGCCTTGAATTGGCTTTGATAAAATTGCACCTTTTTGTGCTTTTTTCTTCACTAACAGTTCAACTTGAAAAATGGTGGGCAGCGAATAGCAACAATGCTTATGTATATAGGTGACAATGTTGAGGGTGGTGAAACATATTTCCCATGGGTGAACTTCTTGCTTCCTAAAGTCTTTCATTTAGACTATTTCTATGTCATTACTAGAAGATAGTTATGAAGCATAAGTGCAAAATTGTCTTTAAAGTGTCACAAATATAGGTTCTTTTCTATATGAGATAAGTAGTCATGCTTTATTTAAAACAAATGATGGTAAATGAAGCAATCATATAGAGATAACATCCCATAGATAGGAAAGATTTTCAACATTTAATTGTTGTCAGGTTCAGTGTCTGTTATTACAAATGCGCAAGTAAAATCTTTTATCTCTCTCTCTCTCTGTGTGTTTTTTTTTGTCATCTTTGGCCAGTGCTTTATAAACTCCAAAACTATGTAGTTTCAATAAGTAGTATACTTTTTTGTTTGTTTGATAATTTTCTTAGTAGGTTTTGGTTGATAAAATCGAGACAAAATTTTAGTAAATGACACTTATAAGGGTTTAATTTTAAATCAAGATCAATAGAATATGAAAATACACTACAAGACTATGGGACTGGATTGAAAATATGTTTTGATAGGAAATGATCAAAATGTCTTTCATTTTTTAAAATATGAAGTGGACTTGTTAAAATCCTAACTTAACTTGTCATTTCACAAATGCATACTTATTAATTCATTAGAAGAACTTCTTAACAATACTTTTTATATATTCAATATTGTTGAACTTATAACAATATGAAGTGGATTTATTAAAATACTAATATAACTTGTCATTTTAATAACGTGTACTTGTGAATTCACGCAGGACACTTATTGACAATACATTCTAGATATTCAATCTTGTTGGTAGTCACAATATGAAGTAGACTTGTTTAAACCCTAAGTTAACTTATCATTTTAGTAATGCATACTTGTGAATTCATTGAAAAAACTTGATGACAATACATTTTAGATATTCAATCTTGTTGACCAATTACATTATGAAGTAGACTTGTTTAAACCCTCAGTTAGCTTGTCATTTTAGTAATGCGTACTTGTGAATTCATTGAGAAAACTTGATGACAATACATTTTAGATATTCAATCTTGTTGACTTGTTATAATATGAAGTGGACTTATTAACACCTTAACATACTTGTCTATTCAGTAATACATACATGTGAATTTATAAGGAGAACTTGTTTAAAATACTTTCTACATACTCAATATTGTTGACTCGTTAAAATATGAAATATACTTGTTAAAACCCTAACAAATTAAAGGGCCTTTTGGTCATTTTCTATAAAAATATATTTTTAATTCAATCCCTTGGTCCTAATTTGAAATTAAAACCCTACATATGTCATTTACTGAAGTTCTCTCTAAAATCATTTTCAAAAGTATGGCTCTTTTAAACTTATCCAGCTCCAAAGTCTTAAAGAACTTGTTACAAGCATGAGTTTAAAGGATAAGTTCATTCCAAAATACTAACCTATTAGATGAAATAATCCCTTAAACTTATAAATTTCACTTCCTTTGTAAGACTCCCTAATGTGAGAAAGGTAACAATGACACCTTATTTGAGAACTAATGTCCTTTGCAACTTTACTTAGCATTTTGCTAGTTCGAACCCTTCACATGTAGTCCTTTCCATGTCATCGGTCTCTCAATAAAAGTATAAATGTTATAAGCACAAGTCTACCTGTTATGTTAATCAATGTATTTATAAGAAAACATGTATTCATGGTTAAAACTAGTTATGTTAATCAATGCATTTTTTACGTAAAAAAAATTATTCTTGTTGTTGTTTTTATTTTACCTATATTCTACCATTTACTTGAAACATTCAATGACTTGGTAAGATGACTATTGTAATTAAGATGATTGTTGTTATCATTGTATTATTATGCTAACATTTCCTAAAGTTTTAATTGGAATCTGTCAAAAGAGGATCCTTTGCTTCTTGTTAATATGCATAAATGCATTGCAGGGTGGTTCAAGTGAGTGCAACTGTGGTGGGAAAATTGTCAAAGGGATCTCTGTCAAACCTATGAAAGGAAATGCAGTACTTTTTTGGAGTATGGTTAGTATCCATATTTGCTTTCTTATATATAAGAGCAACCAGGCGCATTTTTCTTTTAAATTATAAGAGAAGAGTTACACTTTTTATGCTTAAAATAAATATTTGATTTGCTTTAAATTTTACTCCCTTGTCCTTTGTTATAAGGACCTTTGTCATAGTTTTTAATAGAAAATATTTTTTTCCTCTAAATTTTCTAGGCTTTCATATTCCTTGACCAATTAAACATTCTCATAACTAATTAAATAACCTCTTCTAGTTGATGAATTTCATTGAGAGCAATTTTGAAAGTTTAAAAGCATTGACTGATTTCAATGTAATTCCTTTATCTATGAAAAGTTGGTGATAGGTCCTTATAATAAGTGTATTATATGAATGGGTTAAAATGCATTTTTTCCTTATACTTTCCATTGAGAAATGCTGGGTACCCTGTACTAATAAGTGAGTATTTTTCCCTCTAAATCATTTTCCAAAAGAGAAAAAATGCCCCTCTATTAGTGATCCATTAAGGGGGGATTTTTAATCCTCTGAAAAATGGTTTAGGGGACAAATTTCTCACTTATTAATACAGGATACCTCGTGTTCTTCGAAGGAAAGTACAGCGAGAAAAATGCACTTTAACCTTATAATAATTAATAACCATAAGATTTTTAAATAAATTATAGAAAATGACCTCATAAGAAAATTAATAAAGATTAAGTCTTTAAATATTTTAGGTCATTCTTTGTATCTTTTTTTTAGTCAACTAACAATTTTCCTCCAAAAGATTGCACTACCTAAATTTAATATTTTAATATTTTGCACTTTGTATTAAAAAGAAAGGAATAAACCTCCAAATAAATAGCTAAAATGAATAAGTCCTGTTTAATTTGCAACTCTTTTTTTCAATTTTAAAATTAGAAACAGATTACATTATATGAAAATACTAATTAAGAACAAGTGATACTTCTATTTAAAATATCCATTAATTTGACCATTAGTTGACAAAAATTTATAAAGAATGACCTAAATAATTTAAGAAACTTAATCAATATTAATTTTTTTCAAAATATCAATTTTAATCAATATTAAATATTTTAACAATATTTATTAAATTTTATTTTAACATAATAACTTCACGATACCTAGTGCTCTTAGAAAAAGAGTTTATGATAAAATAGTACCAAAGGATATACCTGCTTCTCTAGAATGTGGTTTAGGGAGGAATATTTCATTTATGATTATATGGTGCCTAAAGCTCCTTGAAGGAAAGTAAAGGAGAAAAAATACATTTTAACCCTATGTAAATTGATAGTACAATGAAATAGGATAGCCTAGCAAATATAGACACATAATACAATAGTCATAAAAATCTTCATAGCATATATGTGGTTCATAGGATGCATCTAATTATCCTATTTGTGCTATTGCATCCTTTTTGGTGGGTTTGTTGTTTATTTTTAGAAAATTTAATTAGTTTCAAGTCAAAGGGAATAATAATGTCACCATTTTACCTGTAGAGCTAAGTTCTTTTTTCTACCAAATACTATAAAAATATTCATTTGAGTTTAAAATTATATTAGTTGAAACTTTTACATGTCAAAACTCACAAAATACAAAACACAATATAAGGCATCATCTAAAAATCTTACCTGATCTAAAATGTAGGACATTAAATAACTTTTATATTTTTTTCAACTATACCCCTACTTTATTTATTATTTTATTTTAAAAATATGCATTAGAATTTTAATTAGTATTATTATCAAGGCTTTTATATAGGATATTTAATAAGTACAAATGAAAAAATGTGAACAGTTTCAAGAATTTAATGTTTTAATTAACATTGTTTGTAAACCATAAGTTAACTATGACTTATATTGTAATTTAGAGGAAGTGAAATTTTTTGTTTTTTTACTATTTTTAGAAATTTTTCCTTCTAGTTTTCTTTTCTCCATACTTTCTTCCCAATTTCCCCCGTCCAAACCACTAAGCCTAAAATACTAAAATTAGGAGGAGAAATTAGGGTAAAGTAGCAAATTTGGCCTTGAAGTATTTTTTCAAGAGCATCTAGTAGCCTAAACTATCAAATAGTGTGAAATAAATTATCAACTTTTAAAAATAGAACATCCAGTAGCCTGTTGTTAACTTCAATAGACGAATGTTATGTGGGGCCCACAATGATATGTGACACTCCATGTCAACATGTGTAAAAATGTAAATTTAACTACGAACTATTTTTTTAGGAGCACTAGATAGCTAGCTTCTACTATAGAAAATGGACCATCTAACACCTTCCTATCAATTTTGACTAATCATCATTTATTTTTATATTTATGAGACCTACAACACATCAATCTCTCTAATCTTCTTGCCTTCATTCTTAGTCTCATCTCAAGAATAATAGATTCAAAGAGTTCTTATTTAAAGACATTCACGATGACAGTACTAATGAAGTATAAGTTTGATTTTAGTACATATGGGAAGCTTAATTTCAACTTAATTTAGCCATAAATTATTTCTTCTACTTTGTTGGCATCGTCTTTATGAATGTCTTCAGATAAGAACTCTTTAAACCTCTTCTTCTCAAGTTGGGATTGAGGATGAAGATAAAAAGATTGAAAAAATTGATGCCTTGTGGGTTTAATAAGTCTAAAAATAAATTATGTTTGGTCAAAATTGATGGAAAGATATTGGATGGTCTATTTTTTATAATAAAGGCTACCTAATGCTTCTAAAAAAAATAGTTTGTGAATAAATTTGTACCTTTACACATGCTAATGTGGAGTGCCACATATCATTGCAGGCCTCACATAACAACTGTTATATGAAGTTAACGGTGGGCTATTGGATACTCCATTTTTTTAAAATTGAGAATTTATTTCACACCATCTAATAGTTTAGCCTATCAGGTGCTCCTAGAAAAAAATAATAAATGGTTAAATTTACACATTTACCCTTTATTTACTATAGGTAGAGGTTATGTAGTCCAACTTCATTTGGACCATCCTTGGTTTGGATTACCATCTGCATTTTCTCATTGAATTTTTTTAGCTTTCTACTCCTTTTAGCCATTGAAATTCAAATAAGATCCTTCTTGTTCGTACATCCATGTATTTGGGAAGAGTGGCATAAAAATTTTAACAAAAATTTCTTATGAACTCACATTTTATTTTCATGGCTATTTTCTTTTCCCTTCTTTTTGGTTTGTTTTTTCCTCATTCTATCTGAACACACTATAGACATTTACTTTTGTGAGTTTTCTTCAAAATACAATTGGTGGTCCTTGTAATTTTAGCATGTTTTGATATTAATTTCTATACTTTTTCCATTGTTCCTAGTCCCTCAACTTTTAGCTATTGCAACGTTAGTTCTTATTGTTACTGACAATTAAATCTAGTGATTTATACATAATTATGTTAATTATGTTCTTGAGTTGATAAAATTATGATGAGTTGAATATTGTATGAACAAAATGGCCACTAACCTTTCTATCTTTTTTCCATAGCCATCATGTTCTTCCTTCTTATGTTTAGCCCCATGCATTTAAAGATTATGATTTAGTGTTGTGCTTTTTTTGTGCCTTCTACTTTTTTTTATCAACTCATCATACTTTTAACAAGTCAACATGAAAAGTAACAAAGTTTATGTGCATGTCAACCACCATGAAGTCCTTATGGTCATATTGAAAAATATAGAGACTAGTTTTGTGAACAGATGAAACTTAGGAGACTAGAAACAACAAAAAAAAATATAAGAATTTATGCTGTTAAAAGTACATTGACTAACAATGGTATTTTTTTCCTGGCCATATTTTCCTTTTGACTATATATAGAGGACTTAAAATTGATTATAGTAGTGCCCTAGCTAGTTCTGTAAAAGTATATCCATACTATTCTAATAGCATTGATTATGTCATACGTAGTAGAGTTATGGAGGGAAAATGATGGAAACATAAGGTATTGTATATAATGACTAATAATCATTTATGTTTTAGATGCTAATTTTGTATTATAATATTTTCATTTTTGTAAAAGTTTAAGGAATTTGGTATTGTGCCTTAAAGTTTTACTAAGGACAATTAGACTATAGTTTAAGTGAAATATATATATATATATATATATGATTTCAAGTCTAAATAAGGTAGGATGATTGTGTTTAATGCCCAACAGCTAATGTATAATTATATCGAATATCACATAGATATAATTGATAGAACTCAATTGTGTCGTACAATTCATTTAGCTGACTTTATTTATTAGGATAAAGCTTATTGTTATTGTTTCTTGTTTTTGTTGTATGTATGATCTCAATTTATGTAAACTTCATGGGTGAAAATGATTAACACATTTTTATGTGTTGCTTTGTTATTTTAGGGACTAAATGGACAAATAGATCCGAATAGTCGTCATGGAGCATGTGAGGTACTTTCTGGGACAAAATGGTCTGCAGTAAAGTGGATGAGAGAGAGACCTTACACTTTTCACCATCTCATATAAATATAATTAACTATACAAGGGTTCTTCATTAATGGAGTCTTCCCTTAATGTTGTATATAGTCATATAACAACTAAATGATTGATAATTAAAAGAAAAAGAAAAAAGAAACAAAATGAAATGAGCTTTAAGTTGTTAAAACAATGAATTTATATTTTTTAAAAACAATAAACAAGCTTCTATACCTTTTTTATATAGAAAAGTTTTGGATATTTTACTTTTACTTGCCTACTCTTGTTACCCAAGGTAGATGTAAATAACTCATTTATTTTCTTTTTTTTTAGTACAAGGCAACATAAAACCATGTAAAGGATAATGATGAGGTCATATCAAAACTCATAAGGCTTTTGCACTTTAAAGGTGGATTGTCAAAAAAAAAAAATTAATTAAAAGTGTAATTTTTCTCTTGAAATATTCTCTAAGGAGCACCCAACACCTTAGCGTTTTTGTTAGAGCTATTTTTCCCTTAAGGTAATTAAAATAGAGCAATTTTTTCCTTTTTTTCAAATTTTCTAATGATCAACATTCAAGTCACAGTTAATATTTCTAATGGTCAATGTTGGAAATTTGACAAAAAGGGCAAAAATGCTTCGTTTTAATTACTTTAAGGAAAAAATTGCTCCAACAAAAATGTAATGGTGCTAGGTGCTCCTCAGAAAATACTTTAGGGACAAAAGTACACCTTTACCTAAAAAAATTTAATTCCTAAGTTATCATTAAGAGCTTGACGAGCAAGCTAGTCCACACGCTTGTTAACTTTTTGAAACATATGGTCAAAAGTAACAATCTAGTTTCTCATAGAATGTTCCTTACTCTTTTTGATGGTTTCGGTAAGAATGGTGATTCATTATGAAATCATGTTGGATGAGGATGATGGCTTCAACAGAGTCAAAGTACATATTGACTTTGGTGATTTTATCATTCCAACAAATGTTGAGGCCCTCTAAAGTGCCCAAAAACTCATTGGCAGTGCTAAGGTAATAGCGAAGGTATTTGGAAAAGTATTTGATCTAATTTCCTTAGTCATTATGAATAAGGCCTCCATAAGTAGCAATGCCATTGTTTTAGATAGAACTGTCAATGTCAAGTCTAATTCATCCAAGTTCAAGTAAGTATTATCTTGTAAGGGCTCTATCATGATATATTTGGTGCAAGTGAAAGTTGAGTTTTAATAAGGCCACTATCAAGTGGATGCCTATCTAAGGACATATGATTGAGTTTAATTGAAGGTTGAGATAAGGAAAAATGACAATTAAGGACCCCCCAAGGACATTAATCCTAATTAAGGATTATAAAAACACTAAATCCTAAACCATGGTCCTTAATTAGGATAAAAAATATATCTAACTTTATAAAATTTTCCTTCACAAAACACTAAAAGAAAGCAACTTATTTTTGTGTTCTTTGTTCTTCTTTTTGGGTAGAAAAAATCTGCTCTCATGTGCTCTCGTGTACAAAAAATCTAAGTGAGAAATTAGTGGAATGGATCGTCATTTAGGTCATCATTTTCTCCCCTCTTAGTAATAGGTAATTACATGCATTACTTCTTTTACTTTTTTCTCCCACTCTCATGTGCAAAAAATCTATAGTTTTCTCTTCTTCATCTTTTACATCTTCTCCTCTATCATGCATGAAAGAATTTTTATATATTTATAAATGCTATTTACACTATTTCTCTTTTATAAATAAGAAAAAAAGTAATCTTCTTGATACACATACACACACAAAAAGAAATGATTTCTAAGAATAATAGTGTTGGAAAAAATTGAGTGAAAAACAAGAAAGATGTAATATGGATGCTGAATTTTTTTATTTTCACATGAAAAGTGTGCTAATACTGAATTTTTTTTATCTTTCTTTTTTTCTCTCAATTTTTTTGCACATTATCATTATCAAAAATCATTTCTTGTGCATATATATATAATCTATATAATCATTAATGACATTATTTTTTCTTTGCTAAAAAAGAAAAACGGTGTAAAATAACATTTACAAAGATATAAAAGATGTCTTTCACAGATGACAAAGGAGAAGATGTCAAACATAGAAAAAAGAAAAAATGTAAAACTGCAAATTTTTTGCGCACAAGAGGGGAGAAGATGTAAAAGAAGTAATGCATGTAATTACCTATTACCAAAGGGCAAGAAGATAATGATCCACTCCACTAATATTTTGCCTAGATTTTTTGCTCCCGACAGCACATGAGAGCAGCTTTTTTGCACCTAAAAAAATAGAGAACACATACATAGTATATTATATTTTAGTGTTTTAGTGAAGGGAAATTTTGTAAATTTAGGTATGTTTTTTTATCCTAATTAAGGATCATGGTCCTTAATTGAGATTAATACCCTTAGGGGTCCTTAATTATCATTTTTCCTTGAGATAATTGATGATGTCATGTGTGCAAGTGAAAGAGAAGTCTTTGATAGAATTGTGTTCTTCAAAATATATAAGTTTGCATCTTTCTTTCCAAATATTCCAGCATAAATGAGCAAAGAGTTGTTGCTAAGGAGTTCTTATACCTAAGTCGCCCATGTCATTCTTAGCATTTTAGAGTATCAAATCCTACAAGGAAAGGGAAAAGAATATATTAAATTTAGAATGTTTGATCAATCTCATCCATACCTCCTGAGATTTAAAATAGTCACATAAGATGGAGATGGAAGAATCTTGTGAATTACAACTAAGGGGGTAAACTTTATTATAGGGACCATGTCATCAATTGACAAATTTGGTACGATGGCAATCCCAAGTGGCTTTCTAAAGAAATGTTTTAATTTTTTCTTCTTTTTTTATGAGAAGGTTTTAATATTTTTTTCATTAGTGAGCCACTTCCAAAATTTGGATCAAATTTCAAATTTGTTGTTGGCACATTATTTTCAATAGCTTTATAAGTAGATTTGATAGAAAAAATTACTATCATAAGAAAGCCTCCAATAGCGAACATCATCTCCATTGGAATCAAAAGTTTGCCTAAATAATATGGTTATAATCACTCCAGAGTAAAGACAAAGGCTCATCATGTTACTATTCCATCATCCAATGGTCGAACAAAAATGTGAGACTTTAACATGAAGGATGATATTAGCATTGGGAAAAACATATAATCAATGAAAGGTTTAGGAAGGGCCTACCACCTATCATACCATAAGGATATTTTGTTTCCTTTATCAACTTTCCATCCAATAATTGACTATAAATTTTTCCCAAATTCTACAAGTACTAGTAAACCATAAGGAAAGTGGGTACATGCATATTTGTCATAAAGGATCTGAATCTAAAGACATTCATATTTCAAATAATATCATGCATTTTCTAAGCTTTTGTGCGGCAAAACCTACAGTATTTTTTCCTTGGTAAGTACAAATAACATATCTCGCTGATGGTAAGGATTGTCACTTTCAAGTATTGAGTGCAAAAAAGTAGATATCTTTTAATTAAATTGTTGTGTATATAAGAGCTGTGATTTGAATCTTGAACCACCACTTGTTTAAGTAATAGAAATTTCTATTACTCATGTCAACTTGAATAGGTAAAACCAACTATATTCTAACAAAATGATAAATTAATAGCACATTTTTTTATGAAATTTTAAATATATTATTACATATTGTCATATAATAAGAACACAAAATAAATCTCCTAAAAGAGAAGGAAGAATTGATTAAAGTAAAAGAAATCACTCATCATGATTATTAACCCTAGAAATGGACTCAAACCGAGTAGTACTTTTCTTAATCACTTCTATTGGTTCATTATAATTAAAACTTGTACTAGTGCACACTAATAGATCAACTTAAAGTCATCTTCATCATCACTCGTGGTTAATTATAATGATCATTGATGAAGTACATCTATAGGTACCAAGTAAGAGTGGTATAAATGACAACAATCTAGGTAGAAATGGGAATAGGTCAAATTAGGCCTCAATTAAAAAAGCATGAACCTGTAATGAAGGCTTAAGTCTTAAGCTTATATATATGCTTTTTTTTTCAAGCTTAGGCTAGAGCTTATTACGATCCTGACTAGACTTGAAGTTTGTTTAAAAGCATGGGCCCTTAAAAAGGCTTAAGAAATAAGCTAAATCATCAACAAGGTTAAATCATTCAACCAGAAGAACATAAATTAAAATATAATAATATAAATTAAATGTATTTAATATATAAACAAAATATAATTTATACAAAAAATTAAATATAAAAAGCCTAAATAGCCCAAGCCTAGGAAAAATAGAATTAACCTATTTTGCCAAACAGTCTTTAAAATTAGGCATATTTAACTAAAGAGGCTTAGCTAACCAGGCCAAGCTAGGCCAGCTCCTAACCAGGCCAGACTATTAGCCACCTAATAGGGGACTGGCCTATTAAGCATCATTTTAAAGTTTAATTCCTAAATGTATGTATAAAAAGTATGGTTTAGGAGTGGACAACCCCTTAAATGATGATTAGATTTGTAACATCCTAAATTTCAGTCACAAAAACTAGTTGCTAATAAGGGATAAATTAATAATTAGAGGGTTGATTGTGATTTAAATGTTGAGTTGATAATTTGTGTTGATTGGATGTTGTAATGATATAATTAAAGGGTTAAAAGACAATTCGGGGCAAAATCCATGAGTATAAGTGAGTATTTTCTCACTGTGCTACTCGCCGCGGTGGAAGCTGTATGCTCCACGATGCACTATTCAGGAATCACTTAAAGCTGACGTAAATAGTTCATGAAAATAACTAGAAACACATTTAAAGAGAAGGAGGAGTCTATCTCTGCTAAGGCTTGCAATAACTGGAGCTCAAGAGTCTGCTTCGATTGACAACTTGCTGGGTAAGTATTACGCAATCTCAAGCTTCAATTCTATCCCTTTTTTATTGAATTTTATCGATTGAGAAATCAAATCATGAGATTTTAAGGTGTTGTAATCTAAAAGAAAGGGTTAAAATGGGTTATCGAATACAAAAATAAGGTTTTGTGAGTAGTATGGAGTTGAATGATTGAACTTTGAGAG